TATTCTCAATATCTTTACTCATTTGTTCAACATAATTAACTGTCCAACACCAGTCTTCTCCTCTCTTCTCCTTCTCCTCATGCCTCTCCCTTCCGCTCTCATGTTCTAGCCCAAATCACTGTTGTGTCTCAGTGAAGAAAGGGAAGAGAAATAGGAAAGATAGAAAGAAAAGAAAGATGGAATAGGAAGGGAATATAGGAAGGAAGAAAATATGAAAAGGAAAGAGAAAATAGGAAGGGAAGAGTTTAACATTGAGATAATGCCATAAATTGCTTTCAATAATTTGTTAATGTCAATAATTTTAAGCTTATAGTAGGGCATTCTGCCTAATTAACATATTTATGTGTGTTCGGTAGCAGTTCTGTGCAACTGTTGCAAAGTCATGAGTTTCTGTATAAACACAGGTTCACAATAGAAGGTTAAGAGTTAAATGACAGTGTTAAAATGGTGGCTGCTAATGGCAAACTGGTGAGGTTTACCACTTGGAGGCCTGGAGTAGGACAGACGTGTGCTTTAATTCTGGTTCCTCTTCTACATGTGTGGCCAAGAGCTGACTTAACAGCTATGAGTCTCAAATTCCTCATCTGTGAATGGGTATATTTATTTCACAGGCTTGCCAGTGATGTTCATTGGATATAATAGTGAGTTTGATTAATTATTATTATAGGTAGTGCTCAAAAAATTGTATTGTCTTTGATACACATGCCCTTTTGTTCATTTTATTGCTGTAAGAAACCCAGCTCTGGATGATGTGGTTCAGTGGACTGAGTGCCAGCCTGTGAGCCAAGAGGTCACAGGTTCTATTCCCAGTTAGGGTACATGCCTGGGTTGTGGGCCAGGTCCCTAGTTAGGGGTGTGCAAGAGACAACCACACATTGCTGTTTCTCTCCCTCTCTTTCTCCTTCCCTTCCCTTCTCTCTTAAAATACATAAAATCTTTAAAAAAAACAGCATTACTACGGTATCCTCATGACACAGTAAACACACACATATAAATGAGGCTGGCACAGGTGTATGCTATACCTTTAAATACTTCTTTTGGTCAAAATAACATTTTTTGAAGATTGTAATTCTGTATCAATTCTAACATTGGTTTTGTTTTTATAAAAGTTTGCCAAATAAAAATGTTTCTATGTAATATTGGTGTTCTCATTTGAAAACAATGAGAATTCTAATATAATGGACATCTATTGTTTTGTCCATCTGCAACAGGGTGCCACCAGGGACCCCCCCCTCAAAAGAGGAATTTGTAATGGGGTCCAGAACTTGGGGTGTCCAGGAATTATAAAATATAGGATATCCTCACCCCCACCGTGTTTGAACGGGGGGAGGGGGGGTGGGGGTGGGACACAAGAGCAGAGACATGGAGACTTATTTTGCATATCAACAATTGGCCAGCTTCATACCTAATATACAAAAACAATTATTTTACATATCTACGACAGCTGGCTAGCTTCATAGATAAGTAGCTGTGGCCATGCTTTGAGCCAGGAGGATGGGAGCGACTTTGACCCAGGACAAAACTGGGAGGCAGCTCCCCCTGCTTATAGCACCTGCGTGAGAGCTTGGAGATGGTTTGCTTCATGCCATGGGGCCAGGCCTACCTGGATTTACTATGGCAGCCCAGAAGAGCTGGAAAAAAAAAAAATGCAGGAGTGCTAGCAGGTGTAGCCAGTTATGGGAGGAGTCGGAAATGGGGTTACAGGGGAACATTTGAGGGATTTAAACCCAAGTGCAGCAGCCATGCAGGGCTTACCACACAGTTTTGGGGGGAACCACATGGTTTTGGGCCTCCCTTAACCACTCAGCTTAGGAAGCATGAAAGCAAGATGTAGCAGCCATGCAGAGCTCTCTCCTAGCAGTTGAAAGAATGCAGGATAGACGACAATGCAGGACTAGGGATAGGGACAATGTGAGACCTTCCAGAGCAGGGAAGGGGTAAAAGGACTTGTGCTGGTGGGCCATGAGAAGGTGCCATATGGGTTTAGATTAAGGAGTGGAGATCCCAGCGACACAGCTGATGGTGCTGGGAACTATGGGAGACCTGCCAGCCAAGCACAGATGACTGAGAAGAACCTGGAGAAGTGAGCTGCAGACTTGTGTTTTTGTCTTCTGGAGGATGGTACTTCTGATTGGCATGTTCTGAGGCTGCCTGCCGGGGCATAGGGGGGAAGGAAGGACTGTGAGTGTTTGTGGGTGTTTTAAGGGACTTAGGGATTTTAGTGAGGACATTAAGTCACTCTCTAAGTCTGTGTAACTTTGAATAAATAGTTCCTTTCCTTTTCACCAAGTTCTGGCATTGAGTGCCATAATTCCAATTCCCTGGTGGTGGGCAAAGAATCCACAGTGACAGAGGGACCCCAGGTGGGAGGCAGCGTGTTTTGGTAACAGTATCTTCCCCCCCCCCCCCCCCCCCCCCGGCTGGGCTGTTCTGTAACACTTCCTTTTACATGGGAAATGTTTTTTCTCCACTTCAGTAATTTACTTCAGGGGTAGCAGCCATGTTACTGATCCTAGCTCTTTAGCAAAATCATTTGGTTCAGGAATGGGGACCTCGCTGAATCAATTAACTGTTCTTCCCTTGGAATTTTTAACTTCCAAGAGATTATCTCTCTGGACAAGAGATTATCACTCTCAATCTGTCTGATAGGCTGAATATGTGACCTTGAGACCTATCAGTGGCCTTTTCTCCAGCCACACGGAGGAAGCTGGTTTGAGAGCGTGAAGCTAGTGTGCAGTGTGAAGCAGGGCTTTGTGATGGGAGCAATGAGGGGCACACTGACCAAGAGCAGTCCATGAGGCCCAATAGACTACTACTTTTGTCCACCTTTATTCATATCAACAGTGCATTTTTCCTGTTTGCCTCCCAGTTTATTTGGGTTCCTTTCAATGGCAACCAAGAGGTTGACTGATGTATCTCAAAGGGATGTTGATAGGACCGGTTCTTGGCATGTACCAGGGACTCACAAGCGTTGGCTTAGTACTCTTATATTTAACCTCCAAGAGAAAAAGATTGGGCAGTTTTCGATTATAGAAGTAACTTTCCTTTGAGCATCACTAAGGAAGACACCTAAAGACAGACGAAAGGAGCCCTCCACCCCATCTCACACACACACACACACACACACACACACACACACACACACACGTCCCTCCAATCCTCACTGGGTTTTGCTGCCTGGAGGTTCACATACCTGCATTGAAATACTAGTACTTCCTTCAGTAAATCTCAAAGTCCATCCCTCTCTCAGAATCCTTTTCCCTTTTGCTACCCAACATCTGAGACTTGGCCTGGAGTTCCTGAATTGTGTCCCTGGCCTGAGCTGAGTGAGACATTCTCATCAGTGAGAGGTGATCTCAAGTTGAGATTGGGTGGAAGAGATGAGGGTCAGGGAATGAGCTTCTTTCAAATTCATCATGAAAAGCTCAAATATACTCATGTCTGAAGGTTAACCATTGAAAACAGTGGGGCTTTGTTGTTGTGTTAAAAATTTGCTTTTCAGACCCTGGCTGGTGTGGCTCAGTGGATTGAGTGCCTGCTTGCAAATCAAAATTTCACCAGTTCAATTCCAGTTGGGGCACATGCCTGGGTTGTGGGCCAGGTCCCCAGCTGGGAGCATGTGAGAGGCAACCAACCAATGCTTCTCTCCCCTTCTTTCTCCACTCTCTAAACATAAATAAGCAAAATCTTAAAAAAAAATTGGACTTTCCTGTCTTGGCTAACATTAGTCAAACTAGTGACATTAGACTTTCAAAGGGCTGCTCTCTTTTTGGAGGACTCCATTTTACTATATTTTTCATCTTGTCCTGATTGATGAGACTTGGGAGTCTTCTCAATTTCTTCACTCACACAGATGGAAAAAAGTTTGCATTCTTGAATCTATCTGCATATTGTTTAAAATATGTTTTATTAGGGTTAGAGACATCTTTGCTTCTATTCAGGCAATTCTAAGGTGGTGGTCTTTCTGATCTATATTTTCTAGTTACTCATTTAGAGAAAGAGCCAAGGCTATGAGGAAACGCGGTGCACTGATGTAGGCAGAGGTCAATCTTTTATCAGGTCAAAGCTATTTAGGTAGGCATCCGTAACTCAGTATATCAGGCCCTGTCTGGTCTAAACATTTCTCTTTGGTTCACGTTCCAACCCTCAACCTAACCAGTTTATGGAAGTTAACCTAACCACAAGCAGAAGTCTCCCTGGGCGGAATCTTGGTAAAGTTAACGCTTCTCTTACTCTCAGCACTGCTTTAGCACTTCCTCTTACATTTCGCTGATATTTTAGTGCGATTTTCAACCCATGTGCTGCAAGAGTATTTAAAACATGCAATACTTATTTAAGCCAGGGGCACTGATCCCTTTTCTCTTAGATTGTCAAATAAAAAAAGAAAAAAACAGCCAACACAACAGTAGCCATCTGGTGCGAATCAAAATTATACCTATTTTTTGTCTGCTCAGCAAAAACTATTTTTTGGGTGTTCCTGCATAATCTTAGTAATTACTTTATTTGTGACATGAAATGAAAAAGGTTTAAAATTACTATTTTTGTGTTTCCTCAAAACGTGCATCAGAAGTACCCCAGTAGTGAAAAATGCATCTTCCTGGGCCAATGCATCTCCAGGAATTGGCTCCAGAATCTCCGAGTGAGGATAGAAAGGCGGAGAACCGTATGTTTACAAGCACCCCAGGGACAGTCGGTGGTTTCTGTTGGGAGATGGCGCTCGGCTCCCCGCCTCACCGTCAGGGACTCGCGCACGCACGCACGCTGCTTTTCCCCCTCGCGCTCTCTGTCGCCCCCCAACGGGCCACCAGAGTTCAAGCACTTTTTAGGTTACAACCTTGTTGCCCCACACACCCCTCAAGACAAAGCCCAGATAGCCGAGTGCCCGCCGAATATTACTTCCACTGCACGTACGCCGACGCCCTCGCCCCACGGCCGCCGGAAGTGACGGCCCTGGTCGTTGGGAGCATTCCGCCCCTTCCGGCCAGCGCCCCGCCCAGGCCTCGCCCCTCCGGTTTCCCAACCCCTCCCCCTCCCCACTCTCGCCCGCTTTCTGTCAGCCTCTCTCCCTCTCCCTCTTTCCCTCACTCCTTCCTCCGGCTTCCTCATTCGCACCTGAACACACGCACCTGCCCGGACCCAGCTCCGCTCTCTCCTCCCTTCCCTTCCTCCCCACCTTAGAAGGAAGGCTCGGGCCTCGCCGCGGGAGCCTCGCGGCTGCGTCACCACTACCCTGCCAGACAAGATGGACACCGCGGAGGAAGGTAAGTCGACAGCGTCCGTGCCCTTGCACGGGAGCCCGCTGTCCGGCTGGCACCCATCGGCGACGCTCGAGGCATGAGCCGGCCCCCCGGGCTGCGCGGCGAGGCGCCTCCCCTCTGGGCGGGGGCGCACGCGGTGACAGTGGCGGGGCCAGCGCCCGAGCCGTTTGCCCAAGGAACAGTCGGCTCGAGGGGCTGTGCACTCCGGTGGGCAGGGGAAGGTGACTCCTCGGCTCTCCACCCTGTTTCCCGCCTGTGGGCGCACCGGTCAGGACCCTGCGGGGCTGGGGCGTCTGGGCAGCAGGGACCGTGGCTGCCCGGGCTCCCCCCACCTCCTGCATCCCGCCAGGCCCGGGCAGGGGGACGGGAGGTCTTGGCTGCTCTAAGTGTGGGGGCGTTTTTCACACCCTTCCCGCACTCGGTTTTGTCTTTCTGTCGTCTTGTGCATCGCTACACGGGCCCTACCCCATCGCAACAAAACTTCTTTGTTGACTCTGAAACTTAGCGAAAATAGCCCGCCAGGCAACGGCCGAGTGGAGTGAATTGAACTGACCCCTATTTAAAAACCTTGCCTTCCTCTTGTGTGTCCTAATTGAAACGGAGAAGTGGAAGGTCTGGCCAGGTTATTGGAAGGAGGGGGGCTCTTTAGAATTTTTGTTTTGGTGTAGTTTATTTTGTGTTCAATCCTCCCGACACCGAGAGGCCGGGTTTCGTGTCTGTGCGTTTTGTTTTGTGGATGCGTGTGTTTTGGATATGGTTGTTTTGGAACAAGCTGACCCTTGTAAACGGAATATATATATATAAACACCAGAGTATTGAAATGCATTTGTTGGTCTGGCAACCGAAGGTGGTAGCAGTTTTTAAGCTGTTATCTTTTTAGAGCCTGTCAAATAATTTAGTAAGTCTCTTAGAAGAAATGGCTAAATTATCCTGTTTCTTGATGTTTTGACATAAATGTGAAGATACATTTATGCTTTGGGTATCTTAATGTGGGGAAATGATAAAACACCTTTCAGCCTTATAAATTGCGATTTTCGTGGTTTTGGGTTAAACTCATGGAGCATTGTCATGGCCTGAAATAAATAATGAGTGATAAAATATTTGATATTGTTTGTATATGTCATGAGCTGATAGAATTCGATGTATCATTTTTTAAAAGAAGTCTTTCATAATCAGTGAGAACCCTGACTGTAATAACATTTGCATGTGACACTTGACAGTTTACAAAGCGAACTCACATGCATTCACATTTGATCTTCACAGAAGCCCTGTGGAACAGGTAGGTATTATCCTTCATAGACGTGGAAATTCAGGCTTAGTTATTTTAATAGGTTGTTCAAGTTTCACACCCAAGTAAGAGAGAGATTTAAACCCAGGCATTTGGATTACAGGCAGTTTTCCTTTTATTATGCCTCCATTTGACAGCCCCTGATTTTGTATTTGTTTTATGAAACTACTAGACATAAAATGAAAATGAATTTTAATACCTTTGATGCCTACTGTTGCAAAATTCTAAATTGGAAGTCTTCTGAAATTGTAAAAATTAAATCGAACTTGGAGAAATGTTGGAAGGAAAGGGAGGATTACAGAGAATTTCATTATAAAAATGTTAGTCAAGATACCAAGAAGCTTGGAAACAACTGTTGTATTTGCCAAATTACAGACTCTTTTTTTTGTTTTTACACTTAAAAAGGATTTTATTTATTTATTTTTAAAGATAGGGTAAGGGAGGGAGATAAAAGAAAGTTTGTCCTGTGAGAGAGAAACAGTTGCCTGTCACATGCCCCCAACTGGGGACCTGGTGCAGTACCCAGGCCTTTGCCCTGACTGGGAATCAAACCAGCGACCTTTTGGTTTGTAGGTTAGTGCTCAATCCACTGAGCCACACCAGCCAGGGCCAGAGTATTTGTTTTGTAAAAAATTATTTTAAGTGGACTGATTTTAGGCAGTGAGAGAGGAAGGGAGGGAGGAGAAAGAAAAACTTCGATTTGTTGTTCCACATGTTTATTCATTTACTTATTCTTTGGTTGGTTCTTGTATATGCCCTGATCGGGGATCCAACCCACAACTTCTGTGTATCAGGATGATGATCCAGCCAACTGAGCTACCTGGCCAGGACACAGATTCTTTTTTTTTAATTTAAAAAAAATTTTATTTATTTTTAGAGAGAGAGGAAGGAAAGGAGAAAGGGAGAGAAATACCAGTGTGTGGTTGCCTCTTGGGACCTGCTGGGTCCCTGCTGCCTCTTTCCCTGCTGGGACCTGGGCAGCAACCCAGGCATGTGCCCTGACTGGGAATCAAACCTGTGACTCTGGTTTCCAGGCCCACATTCAATCTACTGAGGCACACCAGCCAGGGCATACACAGTTATTTCTTAAATTTAAAAAAAGTAGTTGTTTTCTTCTGTGATTACAAAAGAAAGTCTTTTTGTAGGAGACCTGGAAAATACTGCTAAACATAAAGAAAATTTTTTAAAAATCTCTTAATCCTATCACACTATTAAAAACTGATATTTTCATTCTTTTATTTTTAATATGTTAATCTCAGCAAATGGAATCAGAATGCTACCAAAATATTAACCCTACAAACATTGTAACTTTTAAAAAAATAGCATTTGCTTGCCTCTAGTGCTACCATATATTATGTTATAATGCTCAGACTGTTTTGTATCTATTCTAAATAGTACTGAATTCTGTTAGAACATTGGTTAGTTCCCAGATGGATTTTGGTGTTTCATATTATTTACTATACTTAAATATATCTAAAATACTTAGTGTATTAAAATTTATTTTTCTAAAACCAACAGGTTTATAATATATTTTTATAATGCAAAGGGTGAATGAATCATTGTTTGTATGAGTTCAGGTATATTACTTAAAACTGTTGTCCATCATCAAATCTTTAAACTTAATCACTGAGGAGACCATAGATACACAGCATTTTCATTTTACAAATTAGGAGCCTGATCCTGCACTGCACCGAGATTTTTCAGTTTGGGGGAAAAAAAATCTATCTTTTGCTCAAAGATAGATTAAAAAAAATAAAAGCACCATACTATTAGAATAGATGTTGCAAGCAAGTACTGATTTATGAAACTCTCATATGATATTAAATGTTTTGACATCATAGTGCTCATTTCAACCCAGTGATACATATAGATGACTTTTTTCATTTTGCTAAATTACTCCTTATGCTAGCAGAATTTATTAAAAAAAATCTAACGAGCAGTTTTTAAAAAACAAAATGTCAAATTGTTCTTTATGCTTTATGAACACATTCACTGGGAAGGTATGAAGCTGAAGTATGTTGCAGTTGATCATGTTCTCCATTAACTATGGGAAAACTTGAGGTGACTTCAATTTGGATGAGTTAAAAGGATGAGAAGTTATCAGAACCAGACAGCTAGTTACTGTCTTTCTAGAACCACATGGTTTTTCATATCTACTTCTAGACATGTCTGCTTCATTTTTCTCACCACAGATGAACTTTCACTGCTTTGGCATGCTTATGACCAAACAGATATGCACTTCTTTGTCAAATGTTTATTGAGCACATGTTACAAGCCAGACATACTATGTTATGAACCTGGGGTAGGCAGACAACAAAATACACAAAATATAAGATTAAAAAAAAACCCCCAAAAACCCTCCACAAAAACCATGTAAGAAATTATATGGCATAACCTATAGCATAGAAGGTTATATGTACTGTGGACAACTGTAGATGAGGAGGGAATCAGGAGTGTCAGGATATGAGGATTGGTTGCGATTTGAAATATGTCTCCTACCTACTGGGAAGGAGCAAAGAAGGAGAGGGAGTTAGACATGCAAATAAATGCTCTGTGGGCAGAGCATTCTAGGCACAATGAATAGCCAATGTGAAATCTCTTAAGTCGGGAATATGCCAGGAATTTTCAAGAAATGAGTTGGGTAAAGAGTAAGCAAAATATGAAGTCAGAGAGGTCATGGGGCCAGTGGGGAGTGTAGAGGGAGAGTAAGTAGGACTTAGTGGACTTACTTTTGTGAAATAGAGAGTCATGGGAGGGTTTCGAGCAGTTGTCTTGCCACTCTGTCACTGGCTACTTCCCTGAATATACAGTCAAACTTTCATTCTTGAATGTCTCCTATTTTGAACAATTTGATTCTTAACCAAGTTGTTCATGGAAAAAATGTCTCATTTCTTGAAGTGACAACCCTTTCATCCTGGTACCCATATGATCAGTCACACATCTCTTAGGAATGATTTGGTTTTTGAACAAATCGCTTCTCAAACAGCCTTCCAGAATGAATAAAGTTTGAGAACTGAGGTTCCACTGTACCTCTTTCCAAATCAGCTCTTAAACCAAAATTTCTGGGAGCTAGAATCCGATTGGCCCATATTGGTTTGGTCAGGTACCTACCTATGATCCAAGTAGCTGGCTAGGTGGTAGTTGGAAAGATAATGTAAGAATAAGAATCATGTCCAAAGGTACAGACTTCCAGTATTTGAATAAATCCTGGGGATGTAATATACAATATGGTGACTATAGTTAATAAGTAATACTGTGCTATTTATTTGACAGGTGAAAAGTAGATCTTAAAAGTTCTCAGGATAAGAAAAATAATTTGTAACCATGATGATGCCTTTAACTAGACTCATTGCACAGTATATACATATATTAAATCTTTACATTGTACAGTTTAAATTTTTAAAAATATTTTGTTTGTTTATTTTTAGAGAGAAGAGAAGGGAGGGAAAAGGAAAGGGAAAGAAACTTGGATGGGTTGCCTTTCGCCTGCCCCCAACTGGGGACCTCACCTGCAGCACAGCCATGTGTGCAGACTGGGAATCAAACTGGCAGCCTTTCAGTTTGTGGGACTATGCCCAACCCACTGAGCCACGCCAGTCACGGCTGACTGTATACTCTTAAATGATAGGTTAACAAGGTTTAATTTACACACAATAAAATTTACCTTTTTAAAACTTAAATTGTTTAAACATTTGTTATTTATTAATTTTAAAGA